GTGCATTTTATTTGTTATGTTGTATAACAATTTAATGTATATGCATTATGTCTGTCTCTTTAACATTCATATGGTTTAAGCAAATTGAAATTAATAAAACAGACATAGCTAGAGCTTCAATTTTGTTTGTATATGAACAGAAAAAAATCCCAGTTTAACGTTGAATTAATATGGTCAAAATCCGTTTGTATACTTGGCATTCGAAAATGTTTACAGTTCACTGAATAATGGACGATTTTCTTGCCACCGTTTTCCGCGCAAATGTACACAGTTTGTGTTGCCGCCTCGGAAGTTATTAAGACAATAACTTACTATAACGAGTGATTTACATTCGCATTTGAATGTAATATCAATTTCCCATCGTTGCAGGTACATCCTTGTAGACTATTTACTGCAGACGCTGCTAGACAAATACGATTTTCTCAACCGAATTATAATACAAATGTTTTAAAATTAAAATTTGAACATGATAAGATAATGCTGAGACAAGTGAAATAGTATAATGGCTATTAAAATTTGTAGCCGATTTTTTTCTTACTATACATTAAGTGAAAACAATGTTTATCTTAAGAAAGTAATTTCAATTAAGAGTTAAGAGTATCCACTTTCCATGATGTTAGTTGCGCCGCTCGCCGCTCGCAGTTCGAGTCTTTTGTTAGACAAGAGAAGAACGTTGTTACTAAAGAAGTTTGCTAAAGTTTGATTGAAAATAAAGTTCTGTATGTAGAGTAGCAGTAGGTAACCGTTTCTGATAACAGCGATAGCATTCTACTATTGAATTAACGCTAATGAAGTTAACTGGGAACATTCTCTGAACGGGAGGGGCAGCGGTGGGGGAGGGGAAGAGGAGGGGCGGAGGTCAGGAACAGTTTAGGGCAAGTCTGCAAGTTTGTAATTGCATCGAGTATCGGTCGGCGGCGCTGCGACTCGATATCGGATTCCCCGCGGATATCAGTTTAGTTAGCCACATTAACTATGCGTAACGAAATTGTTGTGGTATTATTTGCTTCCATAACAACGTGGATTTTGATACAAAGTCAATATTTTATCACTAACATTACTTCAAAGAACACTTGTACTGACTTAAATGGAAGTACTTAGGTATATTTAATGTACTCTGCTCTCTACACAATCAACTTTTATTAATAGCTAAATTATTTCAATGTTGAAAAGAAGCAATGAACGTAATTGAACACTCGTTCGTATCTCGAGCGCCATTCATTCGCTCACTCGGACAAAAAGGTTCACAGGAAATTGCTATTTGTGAGGTAGGCATTGTAGTAGATACTGCTCTGTCGCTCATCAATTATAGGACATTAAACCAATCACTTTCTCTGCGAACAAAATGTCTACTTATTCCCAATGTTATAAGTTTCAAAGTCGTGTAATGGCTAGGCGCAATATACGGCTTAAGGATCGTGAAAGCATTATGGCGGCTGTTCTTCTAGAAAGCGTTATTAGTGTTAGCGTAGCTGAGGTCCCAGTACACGTGGCTCACGTCGCTACTGTTCGGCTTGTATGCAATATGGCGTAGTTATTGTTTTTCTTATTGTCATTGAATTAAAAAAAAAAACACGCTCCCTACAGCGACAAGTACTCACAAACAGGAATTACGATATATGTCTATATCTACACCACTTTGGATACGTCCAAAAATGAAAGTGTCTGTTTATAAGAAAAAATAATCTTCGTTCAATGTCCTTATGAGATATAAATACATTGAATATCTCCGAGCCTCGTTCGGAAACACTTCAAGTAATATTTTCCGCGATCAAATGTCGCCGATAATGGGGAAAACCTTTCGAAATACTTCAAATGGAAATGATAAAAAAGGTCGCTTGAGTAACTCCATACAAGTGTTCACATATTTGCCTCCGGGGCTAAAGTTGACGAAGTTATAATATACAGAATAATACATACACCCAGACGCAACTTTCGTTTATAATAAAAATAAGTTTTGGTAACAATAATACCAATTTACGAACATTTTTAAATGAATGGTCCAGAAACTTGCAGTTGTGACAATTTATTAAATAAAGAACAATTAACATTAAGCTGCATTAAAACATTAAATAGTTGCAGCTGAAATGTTGCGCGAATAAATTTGTGGCGAAACGGAAAAGTTGTAGGCGAGTTGTGCGCCGGGCCCGGGGCCGGGACAATGGACGAAATGACCGCTGCAAAAGTTGCCGCTTTAATGTTGTTAATGGTCACAGCTGACTTGAATTAAAACTATAAATAGTCAAATAAATCATGTGGACATTTTAATTTATTTGTACGTTGTATAGTAATAGTTTTAAACATAATTACACTGCATAGTTAACATTTGTATTGAGATATGTTTATCGTGAGTGCTGCTAACTTTATCCGTCGAGCTTTGTTATTGAACAGCCATTAAATTAAGCTTCGTTAACAAAGTTAAGTAAACAGTCGGAGGGCGCGCGGCGCGAGACCAAGTTTCGGATACAGCCAAAGTGCCCCCAACATCCCGCCCAATGGATATCTTTTACTGAATTCTTGATGGAAATTTAATAGCGGCCGAGACTTTTGTTCTTAATTAAATTAACAAATAACTGAACGATCTTTTAGTCGGATTAAATAAACTTTTGAGATAAATGTATATCAATAATTGTAGAGGCTTATAGCTAATTCGTGCCAGCCTGGTCATTTAGATGAATTGAAATATTTACTAACTAACAGTGTCTGAAAAACGAGAATTTCAATAAAAACTTCAGAATGTAGAAGTTAGTTTGATCTTTTTAAATATTTGCCTACACATGAGAATATTGTGAGATTCCTCTCTACATAATAAAACAAACGATACGTATGAGCGTGGTCGCTACAGACAGACAGACGCACACTAAAAGTACGTACATGTTCAAAGTGCCTCCGTACACAGTACACACATATGTTACATGCGATATAAATTTTCTATACCGATGGCTAGTGAATATTTAAAGCGATAGAAAACAGAGTGCCAAACAGAAATGTTTGCCATAAAAACATCAAGCACTAGTCTGTAAATGTTAGTTATAAATAAGAAAAAGTTAAAAAAAAAAAATCATTTTAAAGTAATTACAGTAAAGTGTTCACTAGCATTTGATCTTTAATCCTGTGTTCACAGAGTACTGAACATCAATGCGTTTGATGTTAAATCCTTTAGTAACGGAACATCTGACGCTATCGTTAATATCATAGGTTTCCAGTTCAGTGAACATTAGCGTGCAGAGTGGCGTCCAGCCAGCGTTCAAGCGGCGTCCATTCACCGCCAGCTTTTTGTCCCACGGCTCTCGTGTTCGGTACTCTGTGCTTATCCGATCTCAGCATAATCTGTGAGCTCACCGCAAGCAAGATGGACTTCCTCAGATAAGCTCGCACTGACACAAACTTAAAGAGCTTTACTTTACGTTGCAATGATGTAAAACTACTCAAGAAGAAAGTATATTTAATCGTATCTTGATAAGGAGAGTTTAAAAGTTGAAACCATTCCTGGTTAAGTCAGCGACATCTAGTGAATAGCTTTGTAATACAATTTACAGACTAGTCCGCGACAGAGCCGCACCGCACCAATTTGTCCGTGAGATAGAATTTTTAAATAAATTCAGCGAGCGTCCTTTTTATATCTCTTTAGGGACAGAATAAAAATTTAGTTCTAAGATAATATAGTGTTCTTCGCAAAGTGGAATATGAAATTCAATAGAAATATTGTAAAGGTTGAGCCTTAGAGGTGACTTTGTTATTCACTTTGATTTACTTAAGACAACGCGTATTTAACAAAATAGTTGAGATTTATTTATTGATTTAAATTAAATGTTTCTATTAAGATATTTAGCAAAAGTGTATTAAACACGCAAAATGTAAAAATCCCATTTGATTTTGTTTTCGATGGTGTCTTTACTTCAGTGGTCTAAGCTAATTCACGGATCATTTAATATAACACACATGTCGTGTCAGCTGTAGACTCCGAACATAAAAATTGGAATTACCATAAAATCCTCTTTACGTTAATTTGAATTTAAATTGCGACAGAGCGCTACATTTTCGCTCGATGTTTATGGGATCGGGGACGGTTTACGAGTGCAACCTTTCGTTAATTTCGTTAAAAACCCTTTACAATAATTGGGATCGTGTTTATTTAGGTCAGATTAGCCTAGTGGTGCGCGGCACACGTGTTCACAATTGTGTTATGTGAAGCATTATTTGCAATCGTATAGGGACATTAAACCTATAGAAGTATTCCTGATTAGACCGCTCTTGTGATCAACAGATCACAGGAGCGGTCTAAAACAAATGGGCATGAGACAAGTAATCCGTGTTCCCGTTCTCACAATTTGATGAGAAACGTCTGTAATGTAGAAGTTATTTCGCAGAGGGCTTGAAGGCGCGGTTAAACACGGCAGCACCCCCACCACGGACCTGCAATCGAACAGTAAACAATCACCACTTTTGATGCTACTAGATATTTTATAAAAGGTTCTTTAACAGTGGTAGAGCCCGCTTTAACATCTTCGGACATCTTCTTCAAACGGATTTGACGGTGGAGGAGACGAATGGGAAGGGGAAATGTCCTCTTTATGTGCGTCTCTTCCTCCGTCAATTAAGGGTAGGCAACGCATCTGCAATTGCGGTTATGGGCAGCGGTCGCTTTCCATTTCGGTGAATTCAGGTGGTCGCTTGCTCGCGTGCCACCTTATATTATAAAAAAAATATATATATAAAAGGATTCTTGATCCACAACTTAAAGCACCAGTACACGTTTATTGATAATTTGGGCGTATTTGTTATGTATGCGTTATATGCGTTATATTAACAGTTAAGAATCTTTCAATTAAAAATTTTTTTCTCTTTATTTCAGTTATGGCAATTAATTAATTAAAGTTTCTCTATTGGAACAGAAGTCGATTACAAATCTTCGTTAGGTATAACGACAACCGCATCCCTCTGCCTTTGTCCAATGGGAACATTAACAGTACATATAAGAAGGCAATACAGACACACTATAGAATTAAAAGCGACAAGTAGTCTAAATTTAATCAACATATAAAACAGGTCAAACGTTTACCATAAAACCATAACTAAATTATGTATACTTATTTACAAAAAATAAAGCTACAAAAACTTTACATTCTACTCATCCCATACCCGATGACTAAAATTTCTATTTCAAATTGGATTTCTATTTAAAATTTAAAAATTTAAGTTGAATCCGAAGCCGAGCCGCAGCCGGCGCTGGCCGTCGATTAGCGCGCTGCCCACCAGCCGCAACACGCGCTCCTCCTCTTGCGCGTCGCGCACGCATACCTCCTTCTGCAGTGTGAACCCGCCACAGCGCTGGCTGTCCACGAACACGCGCAGCTCACAACCCTCATACGACTTGTGCAGAGCTACCGCGGCAGTCAGCGGCGCCGCTGCGCGCCCCTCCGTCACAACGCCCGCCAGACGCAGGCCCTCCGCCAGCCTCTTGAAAAGGCACACCTGGAAGCCCTGCTTGGTAACCGTCGAGGACACGCAGTAGGAGGGACCGCGGTAACGCGCACTAAGCGACAGCTCCGGCAGCGCGGGACACGCGAGCGGCTTGAAGCTAAGCTCGCTGCCCACACTGAGCTCGGGCCGAAGATGGTACATCCATTGCGACACGGTGCGCAGAGTGTTTGGCTCCATGTCATTCATCTTGAATGTGAAAGATGCGACCGAGCGCTCTCCTTCGCGCTCCAGCTCCACCTCGGTCTCGGAGGCCACCAGGTCGCGAATCCTGGAGGTTAGGCGTAGCGTGCAGGCGCCGTCCATGCGCTCCGTGTATGTGGCCGTGGCCGACCCACTGGCGTCCACCACGAGCCCGTCACCGATGAACTTAGACTCCACTTCCTTGTTGAGATATCGCTTGTAGATCTGGTACGTCTCCCTCGTCTTCCCGTAGTTGTACTCCTGCAAGAGCTTCACTTTGTCGAGCACCTGTCGCAGCACGACCAGTCGGGCGCCGACGAAACACTTGGGGAACACGTTCTTAGTCTCCGCGTGCACCTCGCTCAGCCGCGTCTGGTTCGGCTTTGCGGGCTCGAGTATGATAATGTCTTTCTTTTTGGGCAGCAGCCGCTGCAGACTGGAAACGAAGTTGCTGACCTCCGCCTTGATGGTGTCCTCGCTGAGGTCCATCGTGAGTTGTAAAGTCTTGTTATTTGCGGCAGTGCGGAGCGTTGCGGGCGGACGTCACTCGCCTGTCACATGTTATTTTAAACGTCGCCAAATGTCGCGGCGTGCGATCGGCCAGCGGCAGTCTCCCACAGATTAGTTATTCTGTAATTATTTGGTTTATGCTTTTTACTTAATTTAAAAAAAAACTTGTAATCTATTAACACTGGAATTAAAAGACCAATAAACTTTTTTAATGAATAATTATCTCATTTGGATTGCTCCTTTTAAGTGTCGTATTAATAATTAAAAAAAAATCGTTACAAGAAATTTCAAGGACAGTGAGCAAGTGGTCATTTACTTATCACAATGTAGGAACTACACAAAACTGCCGATTCTGTTACTGAAATTAGAAGATCTGGCATAGTGTCGATGGCATGAGATATGTGAAAAGCTCGTGTCCTAATTACATTCAATAAACAGCCGCCATCAACCGCGTCGCTGCGTGTTTGTTCGTTTTGCGATAGGTCGCGTGGCGCTGCCGGCGCTGTTAAACAATTGCGAATTCAGTGGATGCGGCGGCTGCACTCCGCTGCATTGCAATCATTTAGGAGTACCATCGCTCCCTGCTCTCCTCAGCCGTATGCATTGTGCGCTATGAAATTGTAATCGTAATCAACTTTGAACAATTTCGAATCGTTCGAGTCTTTCAATTGAAACGTTTTTTTATATAACTTCATTAAATCGCACCTAAAAACAAGCTACGGTGAGAATTTTTAACAGTTATTGTCGGAAAACTGCATGCTTTGAAGTTCGGTTACACATTCTTATGCTTCCTATTATCGTTATCGTGTGGTCGATGTTAGTGTAACTGGTGGAGGCGAGACGCAGTAAAGTGTACTGCGTACTTAAAATTAATACCAAGAGCTTTTAGAGAAAACTCCTCATTACTTGAAATAAGACCTAAAGAGTCTCGTAATAGCAGAACACCCATTTTTCAGCGAGGAAAAATTTTAAATAAAAATAGATGAAATTCCTTTTACTTTAATAACGCGAGGCGACGTCGGAGTGTATTCACAGCCTTAATGAAATGTCAGTACTAAGAAAACTAGTCGAAACCTATAGATTTACTTAAAATAATGCATACTCTAGTTGTTTAAAGGATATTTGTATTTTTGGTAACCAAGTTTTGTGGGTTTTTGGCAAGATCAGAAAAAAAGGAATATTCTTAAAGCGTCCTCAAACTAATGTAATGACTTTTGTGTTATTTTTAGAACTCATGTTTATGTTTAGCAGTATCATATGTATGCCACATACCTACTGTATAACATCAATAAACGTTTACAATTTGTCAACAGATCAGAAGGCAGCAGGGGGCAGGTGTGAGATACAAAGCGTAGGGCGCGATGTGGTCCGGCAAGAAGGGCGGCGATGGCGGCGGCGCAGGCACACCCCCCGCGAACGAGGAGGTGAAGTTGGTGCTGGTGGGCGACGCTCAGTGCGGCAAGACCGCGCTCGTGCAGCGCCTCGTCTCCGACGCCTTCCTCGAGGTTAGTCTCAGTCGACACTAACAGTTTCCCACGACGCCTTGGCGTGTCACCACACAAACAGTTCACCGTATTTATTCTAGCGCAATATAAATCATCTTGCGCTATTATAATTTTCTATCCTAAGGTAAACGCGCGTGTGGCGAATTCGAGCAGATTAAGAGCGCGGAAGACCCACGGCGTGTCCACCACGTGTGGCCGACCGCTATTATTAGATCCCATTGATTTGGAGCACATCTGTGACGTAACCCGTATACCGAAATACATCACTTGAAATTATGATAATCCTCTAATGAGTTTAGACGAAATTAAAGCATAAGACGTTCAATGTTGTATCTATTTTATGATTTTTTTGTTTGTATGTTTTAAAAACTTTTATTACAAAGAACAATTAGCCAATGTTGGTGATAAATTAAATAAATCTTTAAGTATGCAGAATTGAATACCTCTGTAGTATTGTATAAGATGTAAATGTCACTTTATGAGAGCTATCATGGTTGCTTATCCAGACAAAACGTTGTACAGTGGTGCGTTATTTCACCGAGAAGTAATTGAAGCCGCACACCGCTGTCAGCGAGCTTTTACATCACTCAACCTGCTTACATGCAACATAAGTTAAACATTTCACGTACACCTTAAAACTCTATGTCCCAATGTTGACAATACAGCCTTCAATACGAAATAGGACTACACGTTTTAGAGTTTTTTTTAAATTAAACTGAGTCACAGTGTAAAATAACATGTAAGTTAGACGAAGAATTGAGCTAACATTGTTTCAGAGCGGCGCTGGTTCATGTTAGCCTCGTTTCTTTCATTCCTCGCTCAGTTTTTGCTTCCATTTCGTTTGTGTACAAACTTCTGTGTTTGCACTTTGTTGTAAATAGAAAACTTTCTACATGTGCTCCCAAAAAAAGCTTGTTTACTTTGTCGTTGTAGTATTTTAACTGCAAGTTTTAATTGCATTTTTGAACGAAATAGTGAGTGATTATATTTCCATATGTATATTTCAAAAGTAATTCAATGGTTTTAGTGAGTCACGTTTATTGTAATTTCAAAACAAGTTTGAAGTAACAGTATTGAGGCCATACATCTCGTGAATGTAGCAAGAAGCCGCTAGATGGCAGGCTACAGGGCAATGCACTTAGAACCTTCTCACAGAGTACAGGACACGCGCGATAGGCGGGGGCAAACGGTTAATGCCCTATGATAAAAATTAAATTGGTTGCTCAGTTCAATAATATAATTATAACTTAATTTTATTTACTTAATTCAATTAATTTTCAGACAGAAGTGAACAACACTTCAAGTTCAACAAAACTGAACTTTTGTTCTTCATTATAACATTACGAATAAACTGAAATAGCTTTCAATTAAAATTAATTACATTTCTTTCTACTGTAAGTATTTTTACATAAAAAGTAGACTTATTAAAAAAAACCGTTCCCGCTTCAGCGGATAACTTGCGCCATAGTTTACAGTTGATTTATTAATAGTTACAATAATGCGCAATAAGCGAGCAGTTTGCTAATGCTTGCTATTGTTGTGGGCGACCTCTCCAGGTCCTGTGCTAGTGCTACACCTATTGGTATGAAATTACCAACTTCCAACTCATAGATACAACTGACAGATTGCAGAGTTCTCTCACAAACTGTATGATGTATATTTGGGACATAGTTTAATGTAAGTAATGTATGTTGTAGGCGTACACACCGACCGGCTTCGAGAAATACGCGTACACGTGCACGGTGGCCGACTGCAGGGTCAACTTCTCTGTTTGGGACACCTCAGGTAACTACTACACTACGTTTCCCTCCCCAAAACCTGCAGCAGCCCCTCAGAAACATATGTAATAATATCGGTAAAGATTGTTTGGAAGAAATATATTAAGATGTAATAATTTTTGCAATAAACCTGTTGAGCGGGAGCAATCATTGAAGAATGGACACACTTGTTCATACAGGTCGTGCGATCTCAGTTGAATGAGAAGTTTATTTGCATCTATTCATAATGTAATGAATACAAGCAGTACAAGGTATCGCAATAAAACCTGACCGTAACCGTACACCGAGGCTGCGCTGCGGTCGCTGACCATTGTTCACACGAATATTTATTGAGACCTACAAATTTAACTTTTTGAACTTTACTTCAATAAAATGTCGCTCTAATACTATGTTCCATTTTCTTATTGTGATTACAAGGTGCCGGCATTATTAGCTTGGTTGGCATTACTTTCAATTTTTGATTCATAGTGCTCACCTGAGAACATAAGTAATCTAAAGTCAATATGTGTGTCGTGTACAGGAACAACAGCGTACGACACGGTGCGGCCGCTGGCCTACCAGGACGCCAAGGTGTTTATGCTGTGCTTCAACATCGCCGAGCCCGACTCGCTGCACAACGCCGCCGCAAAGGTACACCCTCGCACAAAACAACTATCTAGTTTCCTTTTTATGAACAATGAACTAGTTTCAAAAATATATTTTGTGTTGTCAGTGGTACCGCGAAGTGCGCACACATGGCGGGCCCGCGGGGGCAGCGGCGGGGGCAGGGGGCGCGGCGGGCACGGGGGGTGCGCCGGTGTTGCTGTGCGGATGCAAAGCGGACCTGCGCCATGACAAGGAGACGCTGACGGTGCTCTCCAAGCTGCGCACGCGACCTGTTTCTAGTGAGGAGGTAAGCTACCACCAGTCATTAATCAGCGTACATCGGTGCCCGCCAGATTGTTGACTGTATTGGAATTTTATAAAACGCATCTATTTACATGCACAAAGCATCGTGGTTGATGATTTAATGATAAAAATGTGTATGTGTGTCAGGCTTTGTCAGTGGCGCGGCAGCTAGGCGCCACGACGTACGTGGAGACTTCCTCTCGCGCGTCAGGCAAGGGCGTTCGCGACGCCTTCGAGGTGGCCGCGCTCGCCGCGCTCGGCAAGCTCAACAAGCAGCAGGCCAAGCAGCAGGTAAACACTAGCCTTGGTCTCGCCTATAATCGCATTACTATATTTTACCCCAGTAACAATAAGTGATATATCGACTTGACATAAATGTAATTGATTGTATGTGTGTGCAGAAGCAAGTGGGCCGCAGCAAGAGCAAGCGCGACCTGAAGGCCGAGCTGAAGGGGCGCGCGCGCAGCTGCTGCGTCATGTGATCCGCGGCCGGCCACCCTGCGCGGTGGCCGCACGACCTGTAGCTCCCACACAGCACGCCGGACACCGCACTCAACGCCTGTTCCGAACTGTTGACAGTTACATGACACATCTCATGCCACAAAATTCTAGCAAAAAGCTCAAATTCGATGACGATGATGTTTATAATGTCTGACGATTTTGTAAGTTATTTGAAGTATTTGGACACTATAGTGTTACAAGTGGAACAAAGTTCGTTCGGACTAGCGCGACTAGGACAGAACACGACGGACGTGTCGTCGACAGCGTGTCCCCACGTGGTGGACAGCCCCGAGGGCGCGCAAGCCTGTGATACAGTTAAATATAGATAATTCGCAAGCGGAACTAGACGCGACTAGATGTGGAGATGTGGAGGTGTGGAGGCGAGAGACGCTCGGGCTGTCAGCGGCCGCGCTGACTCGTCTCTGGATATTAAGATGGTATTTACAGTGTATACATTATTGTAAAGACAATTTATATTGTGTAGTAAGATATGTGTTTTCATATACAATAAGTATTTTTTTCTATTAATGTCGCGTTGCGAATATATAATATGTACTGTAAAATTTTTAAAATTACAAATTTGTCACATTTGTTTTGGTAGGACCAAGTTAGTTTTGTAAATAAGGGGGCGGGGTATAGGGAGGGGTGGCGGGGGGTGCGTCGCACAAAGGACTTGTGATAGCAATACGTAATGTATCGTATTATAAAGTAATGCACAATGACGGACAATACTACATACATAACTAGGGAGGTCCACTGGCGCCGGCGGGCTGCCACGTCCACATGCCAGCAGCTGCTGTAGTTTTGTACGTTTCCTATCGCTCGGCTCGCTTGCATTGTTTGCTAGCTCGATGTTTACTATGTAACTAATTGTGCATTTTATAAAAAAAACTTCTTTAGATATAAAAAACGTAATTTCTGCAATCGTTCTTTTGATGATTGTACATTGTAAAGGATCCTCTCTCTTCACTGCACACAAACAATGGCGCGGTTTGGGTGTGTTATATGAATTTTATACGAAGTAGAAACAAATCCCTAAACTCCAAAGTCAACAATAGTAACGAAATCATTGTTGATCTCTATCGAGCTTCAGAAGTAGACATGAAATGTGAACAGCGCGGCGTTAGCTCGCTGCTCGCTGCTCGCTACACACATCAGTTAAATATTTGTATGTTTAATCGCAATGTTTTCTCTATTGAAAATTTATCTTTAGAGAAGTTTAAAACCCCGAGTAAAAAGTGCATTTTATTTGTTTTACAAATTGGTGTTCTTATCAACGTGTACGTCGTGCACATACAGCTGTGAGTGTCCACTGGCGCGACGACCGTACTAAATATATTGTTTTCTCAGTTTATTTCACAGAGAATGAGTAGGACAACGTATATGTGTCACCAGTCGGAACTCACGCTAAACGTCAACAATCCGTCGTAAAGACAACGTTATGGTTCTAATTGTGTAGTGCGTAAACTAAAAAAAGATAATTTTAAAATAAAAAGTTAATATTTATATTATTTATTATAGATTTGATTTTGTATCGACAAGTCGATGTCAAGCTTTAAATTCAATGTTAGCTTTAATTATGAAGTAAACCTTTTTTATTGTATTTAAATATTTAAAACGATTATTACAAAATTATGTTAATAAAGGCTAATGCAATGTGACGTATTTTAATCAAGGAATGAAGTATATTTGCATGTTTTTTTAAATGACAATAAAAAATGGCCCTTAACGTTTGGCCCCGACCGTCCACCGGCTGCACCACCCACCGAAATTACTGATATAAATGATTAGGTAAACATTGCATTAGTTCTTTATAACTAATTACTACCGTTTTGTTTCTTCTACTAAATTTGTTTAAATTTAATTTAATAAGAAACTGTACATATCATAGTTTGGTTTTTATTATAATGTTATTTTGACTTTTTAGTTTTGTCAGACTAATCTTTCTTTTATTTTTAGTTTTATGTCAAGATGTCTTTAAATTATATTTCATTAAAAATGAAGTTACAAAATACAATTTAAATTTCTTATCAATTTTTGTAATAAAAGTGAGATTAGTTTAAAGAAAAACTGTGAAGCATTTAATATTATCTTGTTTCTGTGGATTTGTTTTATCTGTACCCTGGTCTAAACATGTTCCTTTTACCCTAAGCAGTTATTAAGGTCATTTTAAATGTTGTTTCTAGACTATGAAATATAGCGTTCGATGTTTTTTTAATTACTGTTTTATTTCACCAACCTACATACATACATTCGTGCCCCCATCGCGTAGCTCGTGTAGAGCGCGGCGTAGCAGAAAAATCGTAGCTCTCAGTAGGGACTTCAATTCCGCTGCATTTAGTTATCACAATGTAATCAGTAAGTTTTAACTACTGAAACTGATCACATTTTGTATGAAACATTCAGCTCTGCACAAATATTTAGTACTCGTGAACCACTCTACCTATCGGTTCGTGTTTATTTTTAAAATTGGATTGCTTCGTATCGCTGTTTGCCAAACTTTACTGTTCATGCGCTATGGAAGGATGCGAGTTCAACTGAAAATCTGTTGTTGTTTGTATGTGAATAATAATAAAACGTCATTTTGATTGAATTTACTTAGCGTAAAATATCAATGTTTATTGATTTAAGCCTAACATCCTTATCGCGCAATATTGGCGTAGACTGTATAATTATGTAAATGGTAAGTAGTCCTCTAGTTTTAACCATCCATGGGAAGAAGAAATAGTAATTTGGCAATGGTGCCCGCGTGAGATACACAAACAGACGCGTGTGGCCGCAAACCGGCAGATTCCAATTACAAATTTCATGAAATTACAAAGAGAGTGGGAGGAATTTCAATAAAACGGTGATATTGTCAACAAACCCGCCTGAAGAGCTCCGGAAACAACTGGGTCAGCCCATAAATATTTCAATTAAATTAAATTTCCTGTTCATAAATTACAAACTCAATTCGTTAAGATCCCTTAAAATTCTGAAGCAATTAGATTTTTAATAATGTTATATTCAATTATACTTTGAAAGGATATTTGGAAATGTATCAATTTTAAAAAAATACAACAAACTGCAATTTGCAAGAGCAATTAATAGGCTAATGTGACGTCATTACGGATAACCGGAACTAGCCGATCCTGCGGCGCGTTGCTGCACCGCTCACTGCAGCGACACGTTACTGACTACCTGCACCTGCATTGCTGCATATCATTAACATTTGTTACCATCAAACATATTTTGAACAAACAAAAATACGAATATAAAGCTTTTCCCGCAGTTGCAGATGCAGTCAACATAAGAATCGCGCAAAGCAATCTGCTAAGTGCTCTAAGTTGTTAGAAATTGTACATCAAATTTTATTACGACCTCAAAGACTTTAACACGAGGACTTGTAGTCCAATTAGAATATCAAAAGTAGTTATTTTTTTAACATCAAGTCGTCCAAAATTAGTTATTTAGCCATTCGTTTAAAATACGCTTCTATCCGTCGATGTTCGATAGTTGCATGTTGTATTGTTCGCTGTTTGCACAACTCAACTGCTGTAAAACTAAACAGCTAAGTAAAGTTTGTTTGATACTGTTGTGTTGCCATACAAATAACGTAAGCTCATGTTCAGCCGCTAGCGAATACTTCACTGCATCGCGTCGATACAACTTTAATATTGCAAAGTATTAACGTTGAAAATACAAAATAAATTATTAACGTGTAAAAATTAACTAATGAATTGTTGTCATCGGTTGCCAAAGGATATCAAGTCTATTACGGAACCTTACCAAGTCACAAACAGCCTCTTGTAGAAACTTCAAGTTAAAGTTTTAAACCATTTCCTGGCTGAATTATTTTGCAAGTTTAGAATAATTGCGAGTGGCGGTCGAGATAAGATGCCTAATCCTTTATAATAAATTGTGGTTTGTTCCTCGCTTTATCTTTACAAACTGCCACGAGACTGTAGCCACCAGCTACTGTTGGGTTTGAATTTGTAGCTTACTTAATTACATTGTTACAAGTGAAGTGACTTAGAGGATATTAATGCGAATTGGTTAACTTTAGCAAGCCAAGAATGTTTTTTTTAAATAAGTGGTTTAGATTCCCGCTGAAGTAATACACACTAATAAACAGCGCCAACGTTAATTTAAAAAAAAAAGGTTTTGTCAAGCTCGTCACGTAGTTGCACTGAAAGCTCTACAAGGATTAGCCTTTACATTATAACGCCCTCAGCATAAAGAACTTACCGCATAATTTTTAATATTAAAAACTTACAAATGTATGCAGTTTCGAGTATGAATACATAATCATGCAAAACTAATCGAAGTTCCACGTTTGATACAAGAGAAACGTACGGGCCATTTGTCAAGCCCGCACTGTACACTTAGTTTTAACACGTTTTCATTACCTCGGCTAAATTAAAAACACCGTGGATGTATCAAATTTTCAATTAATCGAGATTGCCGCCCCCTCTATCCGCAGCCCCCACCCCGACCCTGCAGCAGTTTGTGCTACGAATTCATTCGATTCATTTCATAAATCTAACGGGGACGCTTCAATCATTGCTCTCGAGTGTTGTCGAGCAACGAGGACTGATGCTTACATATCTAGGAATCAAAATGCGTTTTACTTCCAATAAATATACAAATTTTAAAATATTTAAATACCTAATAGCCGAAAATTAAAATTAATCTTATCAAAAGTTATTAATCGGAGGAGCCAACAATTTTCAGTAGTAGAGATGTTTCGAAATAGGGAAGCTGCTTCGTGTCAGGAACACGCGGACGCAATCGTTAGCTCAGTCCTGTCCCGTTAGTTCTCGGACCTCAGCCTCGGGCCTCGGGACATCATCCACCAGCCGTCTGGTGGGAGGTATGATGGGCTTTTTGTCTGGTATCATCGGTATTATGGCCGGCACTCGCGCCCACTTCAGCGGCATAATTTTCTGTGTCACGACGTCTATCGGAACTGCGCACTTTACAACTGCTGTATACAATTGCACTAAAAAAAATATCTTCTAAAATTATTAACTAAGTCACACACAAATCATCTTAATTTTAAGCACCTCGTGACGTCAAAAGGCTGTCATATCTACAATAATACTTACGAAATATTTCTAATATCCAGACAGGACGCATTATGTATGAATCTTAGGCCTTGCTACAACCTGCGACCTGCGACGTGCAAATACACCTCGTCGCCGCACTGCCACTGGCAGACGTAGGCACACACAGACGTAGACACACGGTGACAACATCGTGCGTACATAATTAATTAAAACGTAAATGTGTTGATAACGTTGCCAGTTTATTACCGGTATAACGATAATCCGTAAAAAAACTGTAAGGAAAATTTTATAATGAAAAAAGGCCACAATGTGACACGTCGGCTTTTTCATTAACTCTTCAATTCCACTGAAAAAACTCGATGTAAAACTTGAGAAGAGTTTTTAATTAACCAAATTCTCAGGCGTCCCTCAAAACAAACTCTGTCACGCTCTATGTGAAGTTTTAACTTTACTTTTTTACCCTGCAGAGTTCTAAAATATTTAATTTAATTTGGAAGAAAAATTACAGCACTTAGGGGCACTTAGTAATTAGGGATTTTCATCACTTAAAAGATTTTTAAGGTATCTCAACAATAGCAAATATTAATTTATCAAAAAGGACATTAGATCATATGGTAAGTGTAATATCATCAGGCGTAAAATTAAGCGCCAACAACAAAGTAGCAGCAACAATAGACTTGGAGAAGCGTGGCGACCCACACCCTCCGTACTCACAGTCTGTGCAGACTTTAGCAAAATAAAAAATAAATAAAACTGCATTGATTACAACTGAAACAGTTTACAATTAGTACGAGCACCTGTTATATTTTTAGTTAGTCTGCGTAAAATGTACGTTACATTTGTACATTGAATCAATCAATGTATGTCAGAATACCAATGTCATTGATATACCGACACACAAACATCGCTCACTCATATATTTGAGAATACACTTGTTCTATCTCTTATCAGAGTTATAAACACTGTGAATCTTCTTGTAAGGTAGACAATCTTATGATAATATTGAAGACATGTACAAACATTTGTGGATAAAAATTGTAACTTCGTTCCCAAATTTGAACATTACACATTACCAAATCGAAAATAAAGATATCCTTGTTTTTAAAATAAGTAAAGAATTACAAATCAATAAACCCTGAAAAAATGACTAGCATTGATAACCGCTCGTGTGCGTGTTAGTCCTCCTTGTCCGGCCAGAAGGAGTCCCCGTTGGGTGTGGGCGTGCCGGCGCCGCGCAGCAGCCGCCGCACCGCCGGCAGCCGGTACAGGTACAGGGCCAGCACTGCGCCCGCGCCCGCGCCCGCCCAGTACACCGCCGCGTGCTCCGCCAGCGAGTGCCCCGCGCACCCCGCCTTCAGCGACGTCGCCAACACTGGGTTGAAGTAGCCCCCCGAGTAGTCAAATGCTGATGATAACAAACAACACATACATTATTCACTATAGACCAAAATCCACGACGACGCGACTAGCAAAGCAGTTTCCTTGAGCTTCTACTCGTTCACGGTGAGTACAGCGTCACCAATGTGGGTCCAGCTAGAGGCGCTACCGAAGACATGGGTTAGTGAATGATGATTACTATGCAATGATATGATAGATAGTACAAGAGCATGCGATGTCGTTGTGTGCGACAGATATGATTATCGTTACATTCGGTGAGCACCACATCGATGTACCTTTTCCTAAATGTACTTTGCAAAGAAGGGAGACGTTGAGGTCAGCGCCGGGCGCGGCGTCGTCGTAGCGGTACTCGAGCACCGTGTCCCGAGCCACCACGCCTGCAACACGCCCGCGCGCTCGCCACACACAACTCAAACTCATTATGATACTTGTACAATGAGTCTTATCCGTCCACAGAATACTACCGAAGTAAGCAAAGTGTAGGCTGCCACGATGAGAGCAAAACAATCTTCTCGTCTGACTGACTCCGTTTGTCAGTACCTTAACTATTGTACAGCAATGAAGTGTAATTGATGCACTGAGTACAAATAATTGTTTTTACTGATTGGCCAGCAACAAGGCGATATTGAGTGGATAGATCTGGTGAATTCGGTGAAAAGTTGCAGGTCAGCGAGATGGAGACACGTCAGGCAGCGTGAGTGAACACAAAGCAGCGTTTGAATGTAAATTCAATAAACGATGAATTGAAAACTAAGTAGTGTACAAATGTATATTTAGAGTGTTAGAGATATGATTGTGTTACCGGCGACGACTAGTGATGTGCCGATGAAGGCGTCGATGGCGGTGGCGCAGCGCGGGCTGAGGTCGGCGAGCGCGCGCGACGCCAGCCGACACAGGCACGTCGCCGCGCCCTCCACCACTGCGCCGTACAGCGCCGGCACCTGCCACACGCCGCACGACCGTCACTACAAACTTACTAACCCACATGTTGCGGCCTTGGTACCTTACAGAATGTTTAAACGATTAATAGATGTGCCCTGACGGACTCTAAACTTGCATTTAAGAAAATGCAGCCTTGTCTGGAAAGGACGCTCATTATTTGGCACCAATTTCTATAAATCGAATAATTTTGATAACCGATTTTAATATGTTGGTGCAACTTGTTAGTTTTACTCTATACCAGAAATCAACATTATCCCGGAATTATTCCACAATATTCTATCAATAAATTCATAATTCTGACGTTGACGTCAGAAACCCATTGCTAAATGATTAGTGACCTGCAAGTCAGCGGTGCAGTCCTCGTAGGCGCGGTCCTTGTGCGTGTCGGAGATCTCCAGCGCCCAGTACATCTGCACGTACTTGAACACCAGCAGCCCGCCTCCCAGCTCCGCCCATGTCTTCAGCAACGCCGCGCGGACGTCGCTCTTACCTGAAAACGCAAATATAAATTGTTACTTCTAAAAATTTTAACAAAATGCCTTTGTAACTATGTAAAATTTAGAGACTGCTTTACTGCTACTAGGAGTTTCTTTCTCTCGTACCTTCGATAATGTCCTCGAGGTGCGTATAAGGGCAGGCGGTGGCTTCACCCCAGCTCAGCGCCCACCAGCACGTTAGCACAAACAGGAACACCGCGTACGTCGCCACGCCGAAGTTATCCGCCACTGGAATAAATATAACATACAAATGTATAAGGTACGACAGATCTCTCTCGAATTATACTAAATATAAATTAATACATTTCCGCAGACCATTGCAAATACTGCTTGTGTCCCTGATAGCGAATAACTTGAACACTAAATATAACAAATAATTTAAATGTCACTGATCCGGTTCACAAGTAATCAGGGAGCGATACTGAAATACTCAGATCTGATCAGAATACGATCTCGGCTTCTTATGATAGCGTCAACTGTTTGTGAGATCGACGCATGTCCCGGAAGCCTTCGACCAAAAATTTCCGGTGTGTTCGGAAGTCAATCGATGGTAGGAACATTCGCTCACCAATGATGAGTTCGAAGCAACAACCGCAGAGTTCAGCGGCGGCGATTGCCTCCTCGACCAGCAATCGTATGAAAGGGTCGTTGACGAGCCGGCGGGCGGCGGTGCGCGCCGCATGCGCCAGCAACGACGTCAATAGGATGAACAGCGCCGAGACCACCAGCGGCGCGAACGTCGCACGGTTGATCTGCGCACGACAACTGCACTCTAATTACTGTCGTAGACCAGTAGACCAGTAGTATAATTTATTTCCCCTACACAGCTGCTTGCAGCTCTATGATTTCTACCATAGGCAGGAATCATGCGAGGTGTTACAAGACGTTGTATCTCATGCAGCACATGCAGCTCGCCCTAACTCTTGCTACTATGGTTTTGCTATTGGCCGGTTTTATATCTTTTTTCTATAGTTAAAATATTACTTTTTAAGTACGTTATCCACTAGTTGCTACACCGATTTTGAAGCAAATGCGATTTTATGTAAAAATTGTTTCGAGAAATGAAAATGAAAATGATAGATTTTATAACAACACCTTGAAATTAGCGTAACTATTGAAATATAGAGTTCACGATCCTTTCATTTTGTTTACAGAAGAAATAAACAAGGAAGCGCCGCTTCATTTCTGAGTGATTTCCCGACAGCGTCGGGAAAGTGCGTAATGCAAGTGAGGAATACATGCATAGCCAAGTTATGAATTGGAAATATCTCTCTGTCTTCAGGACGTCTTCAACGACTCTTTATTATTTTTAACCACACATCAACTTTAAAATTAAATTCTTATTATTTTGAAAATAAATGAACAGTAATAAAACTACAACAATGAAGAGTCTTGTAAAACGTCGGGATGACATAAAAGTTATGTTAGTTGAGCAGTCACATCGGAGTCCACTTTGTTATTAATACAGCAACAGCTCGCCATAAACTGAGTCATTTACGTAACGTGATTCAAGCGATCTTTGGTCGAGCGCCGCACGCCGCGGCCGAGACCTTCGGGAGCGGCGCACCGCGGCCGGGACAGTGGGGCAGGACCGCTCCCACTCCCACGTATTAATAACAAAGCTTACCTTTATCACTACTTTGAGGAACACGCCCAACACGTCTATAGTGAACTTCATTTTGTCTTCTCCACAAAAAAAATCACTCAGATCACTTCACAAACTGCAAACAAACAATCGCCAGTTAGTCAGGTGTACAGTTACACAATATAAAACGTCGTGTCTCTCGGTGTTACTTTATTTATATGTCTTCGTTCATGTTATATTCTAATAAAATCTTACCATGCTAGCCGTTAGGTATGAGCGGGAAATTCGAAAACTGCCAATTCGTTTGAGATGCGGTCGGAAAATTCGTTGATATAATATAATATGTGGGAGTTTTGGTAGAGCGAGCGCGCGGGGCGGGCGCGGCGGGCGGGCGCGCGCTCATCTCGCACGAGGTCGGGCTTAAATTAGCCGCCGCCGGCGCAGCGCAGCACTACGCACCGCCGCGGCCGACCTGCCGTTATATAGCAGGCGATTCATCTGTGAGGACTCAGTCCCGGCCAATGTGGCTAGCACGTGCGTCAACTACACAACACTTGCTGAAAATTATGCACAAACTTCGCTAAATATATACCCTGCATGGGGTGACGAAGATTAACTAACTAAATGCAACAAGTAAATGAACATTTGAAATATTTTTTATGATTAAGTAAGAATTCATTTAAACACCACTAGTTCAAATGAACTATGGACATGAACGGAAGGTCTACGTATGCTTAACTAATAGACATGATGACAGGTAGCAAGTAAGAACAGATGAATTTAAATGCAACCTAAATTAGTTCGATAGGAAAATGTAAAGAATGTGTGTAAATGGTGAGAAGGTAAGTTACCATGACCTGAGTTGACATTGACACCGCATGGCGTGTCTAATTCCTCGTTACTCTCTGTATGTCAGCGCAGCGGGGGCATTTGTTGAACGTTACACATGCATCTTGCATATCGTTGTATGCGTATCTTAGATCACAATGCCTATAAGAAAAGTTTGCTGTTTTAAAATTAACTACCGTTCGAACTCTATCTCGGTGTTAGTCGGCGATAGTAACTTAGTTGAATTTAGAAAAGTTTACTTTTTCTATTTGACTCGTACACATCGTGAGAGAATCGCATTTATACATAACTAAGTAGCCCCTGTCCGTGAACAGAAAATATTGTACCGCCTAGGAATAGAACACTGGCAATAAATCTTGCTGCAGTTTGCATTTGATTTGTGTTTGCGGATCCTTTCTAGTAGAAAGAGGTTGATTTTAGTGGCTGTTGTGGAGCGAGAAGAGCGGCGCGTTGTCTAGACCAGTCTAGACGAGCCCTTGAGTCTACGCTTGTCGACACTTTACCAGAGCTTTTCTTTGCAGTTCTTTTCCTAGTATAACCTGACTTAAAAAAATTATGAAAACTCTTTTTGTATGGGGAAAATTAAAATACTGGAATAGCGTCAAATCACAATAGAGTTACCGCTGAATCTGGCCCAGTCATTATGCAAATTCACAATTTCCTCATTCAAAATACGCAAAAGTTACATAATAACCGTTAAGAACTCAAATGTTTATTTTGAATGTTTTGTTTCTCTTGAAGTTGAATGAGATGTTCGAGTTGTTTCTTGAGCGCGTTAGGGGAGAGCGGCACTGGGTCCGATTTGAAGGCGCCGGGACCCTCCTCTACAGCCGGTCGGGCCAAGCCCCGTCGCCCTGGGCCCCACCGCGCCTTACCCCGCCGCCTCGGGCCCCGCCGCCTTGAGCCTCGCCGAGTACCATCCAAAGGATACCTGTACTCTTCTCGCAGAAGCTAGAACATCAAACAAACCTTATAAATATAGAATTTCCTCACTTTCAACTACCATCCGAGGTCTACGTTATGTCGCCTAGAAACAATTACCTCGACAACCCCATCTCCGTCCCCAAAGCCTCGGTTTATGGCCATCTGCTTTTGGATAACGTGCTCAGAGGAAACTTCGAACACCGCCGATAAGGAGTTAGCCGGTGAAGCCGCAACTAGCGACACCAGCGCCGCCAATACCCCTGCCACACTCCCTGCAAAAACAAACCAAAACAAACCTTCACCAAACCTCTTAACTGTTTCGACGCCATTTCTATTTAAATGTATATCGATTGTCGCGTCAATATTTTTTTTAATTACCGAAATACATGAGAAGGGTGTAATTTCTGGCAAACAACATTTGCAGATTACTACAGTATAAATATGACTAAAATGTAATGAAATCTGTATAACCCTACTCGTAAGATTATCTCTTTAATTTCAATTAGTTTGTGTCGATGCATACTGATTGCTTACACGCCGTGAAATTGTATGTTAATGTGAAACATTGCAATTGTAAGTACTTACACGTGTCAAGTCGTACAACGAAACTTGTCATTTTTTATTACGTCAGAGAGTAAGTATGTGATAAAGATGGTAGTGATAAAATAACAAGTAACTTTGATACTAAAAGGAAGAGCGCCGCCAGAAGTACTAGCAGGTTATTCATATACAGACAGAAATAAAGAAATGTTATGATGATGGAAAAAGAAAATCTGTGTAGTCTTCCTGCGGGCGCCACCTACAAACACGTTATTTACCTTCTCAGTTTTATTTTCTTAATACAATGTTTTAAATCGTTTTCTTTTATCAATATTACCTATTATCTATTTTTTTTAATCTATGAAAGTTCTTCAAATTACTAGTTATTTCTGACCATCGTACTTTACACTTTAAATTTTGTCTAGTCCCTCTACACCTAGTATCATACACCTAGACTTTATACATATTTTTAACTGCACCTTTTTAGTTGTACGTAAATGTTTATTGACATTCTTCCTCTAAATTTAATTATCTCATTCGTAGATAACTCCAAAGAAGTATTTTAGTATTGTCTCTGATTGTGCCATTATTAAAAATTGAAAAGTCAGTGAGCGAGAACAACTTCATCTCTTGAGGGCCGACATAATTCGCTTCATTGGTTTTTAATTAAAATATTAAACTTAACATTTTTCGAATTGGACTTTTCTCTTAATGAAACTTTAAATTGAAGATTTAGTCAAATGATAATGTTTAACAATCTTACAAAGTGGACACAAGACACGAAACAGGAACACTGCGGAAGTCTGTTATTGCGAACGATGTCATTGTCGTCGTCATCAGAAGGATTTGTTATTTCTAAGCTTAGTTTATACCTTACCTGCACTAAACCTTCTTTCAACAGTAGGGTCTGTAATACTTCGCGTAAACATATAATAAATAAAAAAAAATAATTATTATTATAAAAAAATACATAATGGAATGTCAAATACAAAGTAATGTTAATATAATGTCAAATATAAAAGCTTTTCTATGTTACTTGTAATTGGATACATTTTCCTAACACAGCTTTTATTTGAAAGCGGTCTATTAAAAACCTTTTATTTTAAAACAGAGTTATCAGACATAGTCGTACTTATTTCTATATTCAAAACTAGGTTTTTCAAAATTTCGATTGTTTCTTCCATCGAATAATATGTTTAAAGTATTCTTTGTTCGAGTGGAGTCGCGGATCTCGCCGACACAATAAAAAGTGTCACGATAAGGAAAATAAGTGTAATTACGCAAAAATAAATAATTTACATTGTCTACAGCAGAGGTACCCAAACTAATTTTCGTGGACCCCCATTTATATGTTGTGCATCGGCAGTTTTATTATGAACATTCATGAACCTTTGCCGCTTGTCCTGTCAACCCCTGGGGGTGTTCCTGAACCACTTTGAGAAACACTAATGTACAGTGTCATTTCTAACAGTCTAAAGTTATTATCTACATCACGTGCCTTTAAATTAACAAAAATAATACTATTTCAAATGTAACTGGTTTAAGACAATGACGTGCGTAAAAGAAAAAATGTACTTTTTCATTTGTTTCCTTGTTATTCAAGAATCTAATTCATTGAACATGTTTGTGCAACAAGACAATACAATTCAATCGGTGTCCCTAGCGAAATGCATTGCCGCCTTCGCTAACAGAAATATTGGAAAACTAACAATTGCCATAATAAATGAAAACCGAATCGATTATAACATTAATGTTCAAGAAACTGCAAAAATATTCGCCGAGGAATATGTTCCACAAATTATTATTACTGAATCGGAAAACTCTAATGTTATTAACAAACTTGAAAATCTATTGCTCCTTGTTTTTACTGATATTAACAGAATATCGAGTGTAGTGAACAAGGTTCATTATGAAATGAAATATTTAATTGTTGTTAACGAAGCCTTTGGAGAAAAATTCTTTGAAACCTTTAAAAAAATAGCATCTGAGCTTCAACATCATGACGCTACTTTCGTAATCAATGATTTGTGTAACGCAACTTACACGTTTCTGACAACTGTTCCAAAAATCGATAGAAACTCATGCAATTATGACGATGAAGTAAAATCTATGCCCATAAATACTTGTATCAACGGGATATTGACAAAAGATACAATTTTTCCAGCTAAAAAACCTACGAATTTACAAAATTGTCCATTCAATGTAGGCATGGCAACGATGTACCCCTACTCAATGATAGATAACAAAGAAACTCTCCAAAATCTACAACCGATTAACGAATCCCAAATACGGGGTTCTGACATACAAATTATCAAAATTATTTCTGATTACTTCAACGCCTCTCTAAAATTGTACTACATTTATCGCGAAGAAGAGAATCCTTTCTTAAATCTTGAATATATCCCCTTTCTTCTGAACGGCACCTTCGACGCCTGCGCCGGCGGGCTTTACAGGATATACGGAGACCTGGTCTACTATTCAGGTATTTACACCCGACAGGCGGTAGTTTGGGTGTACTCCGTCCAAAGAGATCCAGTATCATGGCAGACCCTCGTCACTAAAATAAATGGTTTATACATTTTTATTCTATTTTACTTCTGCTACTGCGTCATCTGGATAGTGTTCTCCAATTTCGACCATATCTCTGTATCCTGTAGAAACACGTTTCTAAATGGCTGGGGTGCATTGATGGGCACATCCTCTCTCCAGGATTCAATCACTTTGAAACAAAAGATTTTAAGTGTTTCCTATTTAATACTCTGTCTTCATCTGTCGGCTTATATTAGTGTCCAACTGTATTCCTTTTTTACGATCCGCGAGCCCCCCGCGATGCTCAGAACTAACGACGAAATTATGGAATCTGGTCGAACGGCTTTTCTGCGAATAGAGACAAAATTCTTTGTTGAAGACGACAAGTATGTTGCTTTTGCGAACAAATCAGAAAATTGTGCACACTTTAAGGACTGTGAAGACAAAACGGTAGCTCACAACGGCCTGACCGTCATCCCTGAAGGATACTTCTACTCGCTGCAAGCCGCTACCACCGTGGACTACGAGGCTAGGGTACTCAGACCTTCTGAAAACATTATTACCATGTACCATGAAATGATAGTCAGAAAAAATAGTACCTTTTCTGTTAAATTTGAAAATATTGTCCAAAGTCTTTTTGAAGCTGGAATTTGCGATCGTTTGTATCTGGAAGCCATCGGTTTGTTAATCAGCGCCAAGGCACAGAGCGCGAACTCGAACATCATGGCCAACAGTTATACCTGCGAATCTGGTTGCGCTATTACAGTGTCACAAATAGCAGGAGCATTCTACGTTTGGTTTACAGGTTGTCTTGTATCCTTTTTTGTATTTGTGCTAGAAGTAACAATAAACAATAAACTCAAATGACTCCCACTTGTAGAGTTACATAAAATTGTAAAATCAATATAAAACATAATTAAATTATGTGGTTTTATTTTATTCTTAAATGATAACATTTTAAGACACAACGATAGGAGAAATACCCTTTTTGTCTTTTTTTATGGCTAGAGCAATACATTTGCAAACTCAGATGTCTATCGTTGTAGTGGTCTTTTGCTATTTTAAAGAACACCCATGGATGTATTACTAGAACAGGATAGAGCCCTTGTCGAAAAAATGAAGCCAAACAAGACGTCAATAACTGTCCGTTTTATTTGGAATCGATAGACTTATACTTTTAATCTACGAATTAAAAAAAAACTGTCTTTTTCAAATTAATAATGACCTACAGAACCAATACAAATAATAAGAGTAAATAAATAGGTATTACTACTACACCCATAATTATTGTCATCGCTAAATTCTCTACAATATATTCAATACTAAAATTTTCTTCTATATTAGTTAATAAGAAAATAATAATTTTATTTAAGTTTGATAAATTTTATTTAAACCGAATATCGATAGTTCATAATCGTTCGCTCGCTTGTTTGTTTCGTCACTACGATACCTGTCTATTAAGTGTGGCGTTTGCCTTATACAAATTTAATTCGATACTTCACATCTGTCATTTCTCAAACAAATATATCTGATTTAGACAAACTATAAATAAAAGTCTTGTAAAGTTTATGAAGCAAAGCTAAGTTATTCCTTATAGTGCCACAAGAATATTGTGCAGTATTTCAGTATGTTACAAAGTACTCTGTGATATTGCGGCACCTTTTTGACATTGATGGCGCCTCTGAGCATTTAGGGTTACCAGCAAGGTAATATGTCAGTATTAAAAGGATATTCTTTCCACTTGAAAACGAAAACGCAAATTGTAAAGGAAGTACTTGTACCTTAAAATGTAACTAGGAAATGCCCCAGACTTCGTTTGTCGGTTAGAAGGCTCTATAGTTAGAGAATCTTCGTAGCAAACTTTTAGCAATGCACTCTCTTGAGACAGTTAGGGAAGGAATAGTCTTAACTTAATAGAAATAGTCTTTCATACATAGCGCTCATCTACAAATTAATAGAAATCTTCATGATTGTTGTTTATCAACGAACAGTACAGCTATGTGGAATGGTTTGAACTGTGTGTTTTAAAATTATCAGATAATTAGTTTTTGATACTTTACTGACTACACACAGTAATTTCCTTAATACGTAAGTAAATGTGAAATTAACGTCAAGAAGGCCATACTTCCAGGTGCACAAAACACGTTACAAAAAAGGGTCGGTCACTACAATTTGAAATAGGAAATAAAACAACTTTCAGCAAAATATTTTTAAGTCAATTAGTATATAACTTTTTTAAATTACAAATCTAAAAATATGCGTCGCCTTGTAAGGTAGGGAATTTCTTGATTAACGAATGGTAACAAATTCTGATTGCAATAAGATGATTCACATTTTCAAATGTAATTACTGGACCCCCCTACTTCTCAGAATTAAAAGTATCTCCCACTTAAAAGAAAAGTCTCTTGCACTACTTTTAAACGTATTCAACACTTTATTTCATGGAATATCATTACAAAGCCATACAAAATGCGTAAAGTAATGACACGAAGTGTACTGACAAGCTATGTCATTATTACCCTGACATTAAATGTCACTTCTTATTACCGGGTGCCAAAAGAATCATGTACATCTATACTAGTAGCTCACTTATACACTTACTACAAAAAAATACATTTTATTTTAAAAGTAATTCCTTTATAAATAAAGAACACTTATTTCCACTGAGTTTTATCAGGCAATAAAGCTTTTATTATCTATTCGCCTGTCTAAAATCTACGAATTAATCGCCAACTACTCTTTGATCCGTGTGATGCGGACACACAATATTCTTCTATATCTTTTCTTTGATTTTCTTGTTATGTCATTGTCATGTTTTTTTGAATTCATTGCGATTTATTTTTTAATTTCTAACAGTTTGAATTGCTCTTGTTTTGTACCTTTCTAAGTTAAATAAAAATGTCAATATTTCATGGATTCCCAGCTTTACCACCCCCCGAAGACACTCCTTTATGTGTTGTTGATGAAGTGTATTGCTGTGCTAATAGCCGGTACGGTAATATATCGACGTTTACAAACGCGGTAAGGTCATATTTTAAATTGTAACTTGTATTTATTTTGTTTATTGCATCATATATACTACGTTTGTTGTATTTTTATTTTCAGATTAAAAACCACCCTAAAATAAATGTCACAAGAGACATACAGCATCACAAGATTTCAGACGAAAACATTTCCCTTTACGTCGACGTAGAAGATAATCTATTGAAGAAAATCACAAGCGTCTGGTATAAACAAGGATTTTTAGATGCCCTCAGCTTAGCTGCAGATCCTAGTGTTAATCGTGAAAGTCCTTTATTAGCGCACACCGCCTCCTATGTTTTAAAAGTTGCCAATCTTTTTACTGCTTTTCGATATTTCATACAACCCCATTTAAAAGACATAGGACCAAAAATCGTATCTAAATACTCGCGTTCTCGTAATTGGAATTCAGCCCCTATCAAGTGTTTGGAGTGGCATCCTCACGCAACGAAAATCGCTGTAGCGACTGCGGACGACAACGTGCGAGTGTACAGCTCGGATGTGGCGTTCGTCTCCGTGCTGAAGTGCAAGGCTCAGGGGCATGTGTCCGCGCTCAGCTGGCGGCCCTACTCCGCCTCGGAGATAGCGGTGGGCTGCGAGCAAGGTGTTATTGTCTGGACCGTGGACCCCAACTCTATGTTCACTAAGCCATCTTCTAGCAATGCTGTTGTCTTAAAAAGGTGAATTTGTTGTGTTTTGCTTATTTAGTAGCCAAAATATTCATGGAAATGTGTAAGTTCAATGGATGTTTTAACTCAGATTTAAGTGGGGCATGGCTATACTTGAGGTGCAGTCCACTCATATCCGAGCAAACATCCAATTAATTTTGTACATGTCAGCAAAAAAATATTATTTAATAATAATTTCCATTCATTGTTTAAGCACTGAATGTGTTAAGTCATTTTGTAACAAAAATAATGTTTTAAGTTGTACTTGTTAGTACTTATTAGATATTTGAGAATGGGTTATGATTTTTTGATCATACATTTGCATGCTACCTTTAAGATGATAATAATTCACTAATTAAACTTTTCAAATATCTTGTTTGCACAATGTTGTCATTATTTGCATGCTGAACAGGGTATTGCGCTTGCATCTCACAATGTCCCGCTACATTCTAAACTGTTCTATAAGCCTCTTTCATGTGAGAACTAAAACATCCAGTTTTAATGAAGAAACATTATGTTCAATTGTTAAACCTGCAGGGGAGTGAAATGTATTTATGATTAAAGATATATCTTATTTAAAATCTGATGGAGGATATGTATGTTTGTCTGTACTCATAGGTGTAGGATAAGGACTGGGAGATAATGACAACTAAGCTCTGTAATCTAGATAGAGGACTAGCTTTGCCCGTGAGTCGTGTATGTTGTTAGCTTGAGCAGCGGTGTGGTGGTTGCAGCTGGGGGCACAGCCCGGTGACGGACGTGAGCTGGTCGCCGTGCGGCGCGCTGCTGGCCAGCTGCAGCGCCGCGGACCCCGCACTGCTGCTGTGGGAGGTGGCGCTGGGCACGGCGGTGCCGCTGCGCCGCGTCGCCGGCGGCGGCCTCGTATTCGCGCGCTGGTCGCTCGACGGCACCAGGCTCTTCTCCGCTACCTCCTCTATTGTATTCAGGTACTGTACAATGTAGCCGTGCTACGCAGTAGTGTTGTTTCCTTTGGGTATGTGTAAGTGTGAATGTGAGCAGGGTGTGGGACACGGGCGCGTGGCGCGCGGAGCGCTGGGCGGCGCGCGGCGGCCGCGTGGCGGCGG